TTCCCACGATTGGGAGAATATTTCACGCCAAAAATGAATGTTCTTTCCTACGATTTTTGGCGCTTAGAAGCTCTAGTTCACACTTTTTTTTTTTTTTCTTTTTTTTTTTTTTGACATTTAAATTGCAAAATTGCTCTGGTTCACTCTCTTTTTTTGAAATCTAAGTTGTAAAATTCCTCTTTTAAAATAAAAAAAAAATTTAAACTGCAAAATCCATTACAGAGACTTAAATATTCCACCAATCGTGGTAATAAGCAAGAGGAGAGAGAGTGAGCGATCTTTTTCAGAAAAGATGAGGAGAGAGAACGACTTTAACGTCGTTAAAGTATTGTGAATTTTTTTATTTCAAAACAGTGCAATTTTCAAACTTTGGTAAAATTTTCTTATCTCAAAACAGTACAGTTTTTAAACTTTTTTTAAAGTTAGTTTGCGTGGTTTAATACAAGCAGTAGATAGATTTTCAATGTCACGTGTCAAACTGTAGAGAATTAAACTTAGGATAACTTAGAGAATATTTAACTTGGAGGATCCAAGTCATTCTTTGAACGCCATGGTAGATTTTTTCTCTCATGTGCGGTTGTACTCAATTTTATTTTATTAATTATACATAACTTAAATATGATCTTATTGGCTTTCCATTTTTTTTTTTTTTTGTAATTTTTCTTTGCTGCTTCACATACTTGCTTGAGAGAGAGATATAAAATTAATAAATAAATTGTCTGAAGAATAATCTATTAAAGGGTAATTTCGTGCGAAAAATTTCCTCAAATAATCACTTAAATGGATATCAGTTAAAATTACCCAACTGGCTAATAGTCGAGGGGGATTTTTTTGCAATTCGCCCAATATTAAATTGTAGTTAATTATGCAACATAATTAAAAACATCGCCTTTCTCCCAGAGATGCAAAGTTATTAATTAATTCTTATGTCCAAGTTTTGCTAAAGTTTTTTTTTAATATATAATATAACCGGTCTAATAGATACAATGGGTGTAATGATAGAGGAGGGGAAAAAAACATATTGTTGAGGGGCTTATATCATTGTATCACTTTACTCCTTCCCTTCAAAAAATGGTGAAACGTGAAGGTACAGTATCTTGTGGAACCACTTAAAATCTTTGTATCTGATTGCTTTCGGTGTTGTTTTGTTACATGCTTTGTGATTGTGTTTATTGTTACCGTGGTGTGTTTTTGCTTTTCCCAACATAAATAACCAGATGTAGAGAAATATAAGGAAAGAAGAATGTGGAGGGAAAAATCTCCCTCCAATAAGCGCAGTCTACCTCATCATAAATATAACTTTATCTTCAATAAAGTTCAAAGCCCATCTCGTTAGAAGCTCAAGTTGAGTTGGTCATTAGCCCAAAACTACTATTATCTAACTACCAGCTTTACTAAAGCCCGAATCAAGACGCCAGCAGTCATGTGAACCAAGTTAAATGCGGCCCAAATCCATTTAAAGAAGGAACCGGTCTTGTAAGGAAAAGGATTCACCAAAAGAAGCAAGTTCTGTGTAAGGAAAATCTAGTAAGGGAAGAATTATGGAGAGGAAAGAATTCTATTTGTAAAGAAATTGATATATGGAAAGAATTAGAGGACAAGCAACGCGAGTCCTACCATAATTCTTCTAACTTTTGTATATAAATAGAGGCCTAGACCTCCAATAAAGGGATCAAGCAATTCTACGCATCTCTATATACTGTTCTTGTTTATTTTTATTGTTTATTGAGTGAGTTGTTTTATTTTTCTCAATCATTATTGGTTGAGAGAAATTTTGCACTTACACTTTGGCGCCGTCTGTGGGAGTCGTGTGCAAATATATTCCCATTCTTGTTTTTGTTTCACAAGTGAATCCTGCAGCTACCATCCAGAATGTCGAACGGAGGATTTTCAACTGATCAACAGACGGAGTTGATGCAAAAGATGCGTGGAGAGTTTCTACACCAGTTTGACGTACTTCGTCAGGCAAACGAAGCAAGCGTGGCTCAGATCGCCTTACTTCAACAGCAGAATAACACTCTGCAAACAACGCTGGCTCAGTTGGCACCACCGCCACCAGTGGGTGACACAGCAGCACCCCCTAGTCAGAATATTCCTCCGATTACTGGACTTCTACCTGATGGGGTTCTACCTAATGAGGCACGACCCAATAAGCCTCAGCCGAATGAAGTTCAGCAATAACGAAAGGCAAGATCCGAGGCTGTGGCTTCAGACAACGTCGTCACACGCAGGATGAGTAAGTCGAATCCAGCCATAAGCTTACGGTGTGGTCCAATGGAATCCCAGATGGTGCAGGTGTTCAGGATGCCTTTGACGAGAAGAGATTCCTGAAGATTCAGACACCTGCAGAGATGGCTAGAGAACACAAAAATTCCTTGGTCAAAACTCCTTGCACTGATGATGTGTATCTAGTTGAGAGGCCCAAGAAATTCACCATGCCTTCTTTCACCCAGTTTGATGGAACAGGGGATATTTCTCGGCACCTAGATCATTACGCTCAAAAGATGGCTTTAGATGATCGTAATGACCCTTGGATGTGCAGAGTTTTTCCTACCAGTTTGACAGGAGCAGCACTAGAGTGGTTCAGGATTAGACCGCATAAGTCCATCCCGGATTACGTAACTCTATGCACCATGTTCCTGGCACAATATTGTGGAAATAAGAAGCAAAAGAAGAGCATTGCCTTCCTCTTCACCGTAAGGCAGAAAAGAGGGGAAACATTGTAGGATTTCTTGTCAAGATTCAACATGGAGGCATCAGAAATAGTGGATTGTCATCCCGCAACTGCTATAGAGACATTTAAACTCACGATGATTCAAGGGACGAAGTTCCACACTTCCTTAGTCAAGTATTCACCTCCCGACATGCAGACTCTAAATGCCAGGGCCCAGATCTACATTTGGCTTAAGGAAAATATAGCCCACCGAGCGTAGCACGCCACCTTCGTGACAGTGGAAAACAAGCCTCGAGAGAGAATTCCAACTCCAAAGATTCAAAAAAACTAACGTTCCTCAACGCCGATCATCCAGGCACCTGAAAAAAGGCAAAGGGTAAAGGAAGGATTTACACCTCTCCGAACTACCTTGGCTCGGCTCTTCTAAGAGAATAAGACGAAGTTCACAACTCCGCAGCCAATAAAGCAACTCCTGGAGTAAAGGGACAAAAGCAAGCATTGCACTTATCATCGAGATTATGGGCATTCAACCAACGATTGCAGATCCCTCAGGCGATAGGTGGAGAATATGATCGCCAGATGTGAGTTAATGGAGGTGTACAGATCTAGACTGAGGGCTACCCACAAGCTCAAGAAGATATCCTCGGTCAATGCTATCAATTCAGGTAGCATCAGTATTGGATTTGGAGATGGCGACCTATCCAGAGTGCAACTCCCCCACGAGGATCCATTGGTCATTAGTCTTTTAGTGGCCAATTGTATGATTAGGAGGGTTTTGATAGATCCAGGAAGTAGCGCCAACATAATCACAAAGACGGTCTTTGATCAGTTAGAGATCCCGTCATCATCTATTCGACCTACCTCCAGCCCGTTGATGGGATTCGATGGCACAAGAGTAGATCCCCTTGGAGTAATAGACTTGTCCGTAACCGCGGTGAAGAGGACTTTGAAGGAGAACTTTGTTTTAACAGAGATCCATCCTTCTTACAATCTCATCATGGGAAGAGGCTGGATATATTGGATGAGAGGAGTTCCATCCACCCTTCACCAGGTGATGCGGTGCTTATCTTCGGACGGGAAAGAAGTAATTAATCTATGGGGCGATCAAGTCGCAGCGAAGGAATGCTATATGTTGACACAAGTTAAGGCGAAGAGGGTGTCTCCTCAACAACAACCAGGTGTGGTTTCCAAAATTGGACCCAAATAGCAATTATAGAGCCCTTTGCCCAAGTATCTTAAGATAAAGGAGGAAGAGGAAATTGAGAAGCCCACCGAGGAGACCCTCGAAGCCGTGGAATTTATCCTCGGCGACCCTCAGAAGGTTACTTATCTAGGCTTTTCTTCCACGTCCAAAGAAAATGAGGCATAAAATGATGTTATCCAGAGTAATGCAGATGCCTTTGCATGGGATCACTCGGACATGGTGGGGATCGATCCCTTAGTTTCCTACCATAGTCTGAAGGTGGATCCAGAGTTCAAACCGGTTAAGCAGAAACGCCGAAGGTTTGCCCCTGAACGCAATCACATTATAGCTAAAGAAGTGAGCAAATTGTTGCAAGCAGGTTTCATTCGAGAAGTGCAATATCCACAGTGGCTGTCGAACGTGGTAGTCATACAAAAGAAGAATGGAAAATGGAGGGTTTGTGTAAACTATACCAACCTTAACAAAGCCTGCCCTAAAGATAGCTACCCTCTGCCCAAGATAGAACAGATGGTTGATGCTACCACCGGCTACGAGAGGCTGACATTCCTAGATGCATACTCGGGATACAATCAAATTCCTATGAACCCCGAAGATGAAGAAAAAACGGCTTTTATTACAGAAAAGGGGACTTATTGTTACAGGGTCATGCCCTTCGGACTGAAGAATGCTGGAGCTATTTATCAACGCCTTGTCAACAAGATATTTGATAATTTGCTGGGAAAGACAGTTGAAGCATATATAGATGACATGGTGGTTTAAAGTGTGAAGAAAGAAGATCATCCGAAGCATCTACAGGAAGTCTTCAATACCTTGAAAAAGTACAACATGAAGCTGAATCCATCCAAGTGCTCCTTCGCGGTATCATCAGGTCAATTCCTCGGCCACATAGTGCATAAAAGAGGGATAGAGGTAAGTCCGGCTCAGGCTAAGGCCCTCATTCAGAATCAGGAACCAAAATATCACAGGGAGGTGCAGGTTCGTACTGGTCGAATCACAGCCCTCAGCCGGTTTATATCCCGATTGTCAGATAAGTGCAAACCATTCTTCGATGCTATACGATCTAAGAATAAAGATATATGGGGGTCTCAGCAGTAGGAGGCCCTCAGTCGGTTGAAAGGTTACATGGCCGAACCACCAATTCTATCAGCTCCAAAACCCGGGGAGGTTCTTATTATGTATTTGGCAATTTCTAATATAGCGACAAGTGTAGCATTGATTAGAAAGGAAGGAAAGAGGCAATATCCAGTCTTCTACACAAGTAAGACCATGACAGATGCGGAGACGCGATATAGTAAAGCAGAAAAAGTCATCTCAGCCTTGATCTATGCCAAAAGGAAGCTTCGGCATTATTTTGAATCTTATAGTATTGTGGTAGTCACCAACTATCCTATATGGGGTATACTCTCCAAGCCCGATTTATCTGGGAGAATTACCAAGTGGGCTATCGAGCTTAGTTCCTTCGACATAACTTATGAGCCAAGGGTGTCGCACAAAGGACAAGCCGTAGCAGACTTTCTTCTCGAGTATGAAGATACTCCCAAAGAGCCGGCACACCCTGAACCACAGTGGGAACTTCGAGTCGATGTCTCCTTGAATCAAGCAAGTGCAGGGGTAGGCGTTGTAATGACAACACCCGAAGGCACCAAGCTGCAGCAATCTATCTGTTTGAAGTTCCCAACTACGAATAATGAGGCCGAGTACGAGGCATTACTTGCTGGTCTTCGATTGGCTAGCAGCCTCCAGGTACGTTGCTTAAAGGTTTTTAGTGACTCGCAGCTTATTATAAATCAAGTGACAGGTCAGTACCATCCCAAAGAGGAAAGAATGAAAGCATATAAAGAAGCTGTAGAGAACGTTGCATGGGGATTCGATCAGATCAAATTCTATCAGGTACCTCGTGTTGAGAATGCCGAAGCAGATCAATTGGCCACATCAGCATCATCCTCAAATGAAGATCTGACTCGGATTGTGCCGATTGACGTTCTGGATGAGCACAGCATTAATGCTCTACAGGAAGTAATGGTGATTCTAGTTATTCCTTGAAAACCATGCTGGATTGATCCATTGGAAGCCTACCTTAAGTATGGAGTTCTTTCAAACCAGAAGTCCGAAGCACAGAAGCTCCGCCTCACCACAACTAAATATGCCATCATTAACAATCAGTTATACCGAAAGTCATTCTCAGGTCCTTACCTGAAATGTTTAAGCCCTACTGAGGCTCTTGTGGTGTTGCAACAAATCCATGATGAAGATTGTGGCAACCATTCTGGGGCTAGATCCCTCGCGCATAAAGTCCTGACTCAAGGTTACTTCTGGCCGTACTTGGCCCAGAATGCAGAAGAGTATACTCAGAGGTGTGACAAATGTCAACGCCACGATCCCATGAAGCATCAACCTGCCGAAGATTTGCACGCAATGACAAATCCATGGCCATTCGCACAATGGGGGATTGATATGGTGGGCCTGTTACCCAAGACTGTGGAACAAAAGGAGTACATGCTACTGGTTATAGATTATTTCACTAAATGGGTAAAAGCCGATGCCTACTCAAGTGTAACCCATAAGCAGGTAAAAAGTTTCCTTTGGAACAACATCATTTGTCGGTTTGGGGTCCCAAAAGTCATTATGATGGACAATGGTAAGAACCTCGACAATAGAAGTACAAGAAAATTTTTTGTTGAGCATGGAATTATACAAAAGTTAGCTGCAGTTAGTCATCCACAAGGGAATGAACAGGCTGAAATAACTAATCGGACCATTTTCAGTTGTTTAAAGAAGAAATTGGAGAAACTCAAAATGAAATGGTACGAGAATCTCCCTCAGGTGCTTTGGGCGTACCGAACCACACCACGGCGGCCCTCGGGGGAGAGTCCCTTTGCTATGGCTTATGGCTCTGAAGCAGTGATTCCAACCGAAGCGGCGATTCCAACATTTCGAACATCCTTGTTGCTTGAAGGAAACAATAGTCAGCAGCTTGAACATAGTCTTGACCTCCTCGATGAAAAAAAGGATGCTACAGCAATTAGGCTTGCTTCATATCAGCAGCAGCTGTGCAACAGTTATAACAAACGTGTCAGATTCTAGAGTTTTGCGGTAGGCGATTGGGTTCTAAAGTAAGAGACAACTCATGTAAAGAAAATGGAACCTAATTGGACTGGACCCTACAGGATTACTGAAGTAGTGGGGAAGGGAGCGTATCGTTTGGCCGAAGCTGACGGACGTCCATTCCGCGTCCTTGGAATGCAATACACCTTAAACGGTATTTCCATTAGTTAAGTTTGTCAATTTTATTAAGAATCTTTACAAATAAGGCTGCGTAAGCCCACAGTTAGCCATGCTTTACTTTATTTTGCTTCTATTTGTTTCTTTCTATAAAAATGGGGGCCATACCATCATTCTATGATTATTCAATTTTGCGTCACAGTACGCAATAGCAATTTTTATGCAAAGAAATTTATATGCAAAGAAAGAAATTTGAAATTTTCAAATTTTATGCCTATGATTATGCAATTCTATGCTTTTATGCAAAGCAATGTTAGAAGCAAGTTATTAAAAACCATGCGTTTTGACCTATGGTTAAAGCTCTTTGTCCCACATCGGATAAAAATAGAAAGGAAATGTGGTTAATATATGCGTAGTCCATGACATATAGTTGCAAAGAAGGGAGTATCAATGGAGGAAAGTCTCCAAAGTAAACAAATAGGAAACTTCGCAGCCATTGTTACTCGTTTTCTTGGCCTCCTATCATTTTTGAGTCCTCGGCAAGTTGTTTTTTTTTTTTTTTTAAAAAAAAAAAAAAAAAAAAAAAATGATATATGTATGAAAACTTCCTTCCAGTTCAGCGCCAGGGAGTAATTCATTCGTCTCGAACCCTAAGTGTCCGGCTCGGCAAAAATCTCACCTCGGACCCTAAGTGTCCGGCTCGGCAAAAATCTCGCCTCGGACCCTAAGCGTCCGGATAGGCAAAATCTCCTTCCGACTCAGCGCCAGAGAGTAATTCATTCGCCTCGGACCCTAAGTGTCCGGCTCGGCAAAAATCTCGCCTCGGACCGTAAGCGTCCGGATCGGCAAAATCTCCTTCCAGCTCAGCGCCGGGGAGTAATTCATTCACCTCGGACCCTAAGTGTCTAGCTCGGCAAAAATCTCGCCTCGGACCCTAAGTGTTCGGCTCGGCAAAAACCTCGCCTCAGACACTGAGTGTCCGGCTTGGAAAACCTCTTATTTATTTTGCTTCAGACTAAAACCAATAAGGAACCTTCAAGCAGAGTACCTTCCTTATAAAAAAAAAAGTCTCTCAATAGAGTGCAATATCAGAAGCATACAAGCATACGCAATCGAAGCAGAATAAAAGAAAAGGATATATCATTCATTCTCAAAATTGTTTCATTACAAAAAAAAATAAAATAATAATAAATAAAAATATATATGTTTGTTTGATCCTACTTCCTCTTCGGATCAAACGGGGCAGATTCAAAAGCATCTACTACAGCTGGACTTGCAAGTGGAGGAATTGAAGGACCAGGAGTTACAGGAGTTGATGAGCTCGGAGGATCTTCCGGGTGAGCCTTCACCATTTCAGCAAAAAACACCTTAGCCTTCTGAGCTTTTGGACCCTCTGTATAAGGGAAGGACACCCCCATGTTCACATCAAAGCCATCAGGATCCATCAATTTGGGGCCTGAGCCTTGATTGAAGCCGGACTGGTAAGCTTTTGCACTTGACAAGCGCACCAGACTGGAGTAACGACCTTGCATTTGCCTCCCGGCAACGATGCAGGTGCTAAGGGTGTCATTTAAGCGTTGGACTTCAGCCTCCAGCGACTTAACTTTGCCATCAAAAGCAGCCAGACGCTTCTTGTAAACATCCCGAGCCTCGTATGCAATTTGTGCATTAGCAATGGCATGGGATGCCTTCTTCTCAGAATTACTGAGGTCTTTCTCTAGCTTCTTGAGGAAAAGAGACTGAGCCTCAGCAGTAGCACAGAGGGCCATAGTATGATACAAGCCCTGCATCATGAGATAATAACAATGTAAGAAAGTTTGTAAGGCAATTATGACAATGGAAATGAAGGAAGGAGAAAACCTCTATAGCTCGAGTAGGGGCAGATGGGAGTAGCTGTTCCAACCCCATCCTGCCGATAATTTTTTCATCCTTGGGAGCCACATTCCCTGAGCAACGGCCAGTGTTGCAGATAGGTCAGTGATCATAGAATCACCAACATGGAGGATGGACTTGTCAGCCCTCGAGAAGGAAGGAGTCCAAGGTGCCCCAGCCTCGGCAAGGACGTAAGCGCTGACCTCATCCTCAGGGTTAATCTCCTCGATTTTCTTCCCTTTGCTTTTTGGGTTAGAAGCACCCCTGGATTTCGCGGTTGAAGAGGGGTTCAGCCTTGCCCTTTTGTTCAAAGGGACTTTGTCAATCTCCTTTTCCTGCTCATTCGTATGCAATATAGTCAACGGAGCATTCTCTGCAGCTTTCCTCTTCAAGGCTTCAACCCTCTATTTTTCTTCCTCAGTCATAGGGAAGCTGTCAAATGATGGAAGTGAGAGGTCCATGAGATCAGCGGCTACAGCTCTGGAAGCAACTGCTTTAAGACTTACAGAAGTGAGTAAGCTCTCGATCGAGGGGGGGGGGGGGTCACTCCAGACCTGTCTTTCCAGGAAGGAAAGCCTCTTCTTGGCAGCCGAATAAGGAAATGTTACTGAAAAAACACCAAGAAACTCGTAAATATATCGAAAGAATAAGACTCGACATGGGAAACAGCCAGAGCACTTTTCATGAAGAAAGAGGGGTTGTTTTATACCTAACTTCCCAAACTTGCGAGGGATTAGGAGTTTGCTCGATTGGGGCACGACCCATCTCTTTTTAACAATTATCATCCTCTCTTTCCACTTCTTCTTAGAAGTAGGGAGGTCTGTACATATCCTTTGGTGCAAGGGGGAAGTGAAAAAGAAATGACAAGGTTCGGTTCCATGCTTAGAAATAGAATAAGTAATCAGCAAGTCAGCTAGAGTTAGGTCAAGACTCTCTTGCCATCGGCGAATGAGGAGTGCTGAGATTACTCGAAGGAAGTTAGGGTTTACTTACAGGGGTGCAATCCCCAATTTGTTGAAGACTAAGTGATAGAAAGGATGAAGGGGGAACCTAAGAGCATTGAGGTGCCCAACAGAGAGGAGCAACTCGTCTTCTCCGACACCCTCGCCGGTGCAAAAATCAGCGCCTTTGGGGTACTCTGCAATTTCTACCCCCTCGAGAATCTCGAATTCTTCCATTACGGATTCAATGGAGAACGGGATGCGACGAATAGATAAAATTGCATGTCTCTCTTCCTTAGTGAGGATATTGTCCGACCTAGAGGTGGATGTTTCAGCCTGGATCGGGGAAGCACCTGGCTGATTAGCCGAGTCACTTACAGGTTTAGGAAAATTCGAAACCCTAGGTGGGGGAACCCTAATAAGATTAGGGGAAGACGAGGGAGTGGACTCAGAATCTACGATCTCTATACTTTCAGGAGTAGTCGAAGTACTCATAATGCAAGATCGAAGAGAAAAAGATGAAGAACTAACCTGATAAGACGACGAAGTGAAGAATACAAGAAACGTAGTGAGAGCAAAAGTAACCCTTATGGAATCTCTTTAGGCAGAATGGCAATGGGCAATCTCGGAACCGTCTTTTTGTAAAATAGACAACCGTGCAACTTCAATTCCCTTTTTAATAGGAGCCACGATCCAATTAAAGAGGGAATTGGGGGCAAAGTGTGAAGGGAAAAATCTCCCTCCAATAAGAGCAGTCCACGTCATCATAAATATAACTTTATCTTCAATAAAGTTCAAAGTCCATCTCGTTAGAAGCTCAAGTTGAGTTGGTCATTAGCCCAAAACTACTATTATCTAACTACCAGCTTTACTAAAGCCCGAATCAAGACACCAGCAGTCATGTGGACCAAGTTAAATGCGGCCCAAATCCATTTAAAGAAGGAGCCGGTCCTGCAAGGAAAATGATTCACCAAAAGAAGCAAGTTCTGTGTAAGGAAAATCTAGTAAGGAAAGAATTATGAAGAGGAAAGAATTCTATTTGTAAAGAAATTGATATATGGAAAGAATTAGAGGACAAGCAACGCGAGTCCTACCATAATTCTTCTAACTTTTATATATAAATAGAGGCCTAGACCTCCAATAAAGGGATCAAACAATTCTACGCATCTCTACATACTATTCTTGTTTATTTTTATTGTTTATTGAGTGAGTTGTTTTATTTTTCTCAATCATTATTGGTTGAGCGAAATTTTGCACTTACACAGAAGTCCACCACATCACCACAAATCTATACCAAATTTTATCCCGTTCACGCCATACCGAACAAGCAGAGCCAGCCTTGGGCGAACTAAAATGCGAGGTCATTTATAAGGTTTTACACGTGTAAAAAATTAATAAGAGTGTATAATTTTCATTAAAATGAGACGATAAATACAAAAAATAATTATTGTTGAAAACACACAAAATAAAATCTGGTCTTTGTGCTTTATAAAGAGCATGATCCAATTTACATAAAAAATAAAAATAAAAAATAAAAGAAATATTCCACACAACTTAGTCACAAAAATTAAAATTCAACCTTATAGCAAAGTAAATGTGATTGTCTTGCATTTTGAATTGCAAAATTATCAATTAAAGTACTTCAATCAAGTTTCTCCAACATATTTTTTTCAATAGATATCATAGTCAATCCATTCAATCTCTCTTATGACATATACGACGGTAGGTAAGATTTGATCAACTTCAATTTTGAATTTAATTTTTTTTTTTTTTAAAGTCAACTTTGAAAAACTTCTCTCAATAAATGCAATTGTAATTGGTATAGTCAATAATACTTTATATGCAATACATGCATGCACATGCGCCCAAAAATAATATAATAATAAAAAAACTAGAGTTTAAATATATATATTTTTTTCTTCTTTCGAAGGGAGGGTATAGAAATAAATTATTGTTGTCATACAAATGATTGCCTAATATATATAAATTGATATTATAAGTACGTGTGTTTATTGTCATAAATTTTTATTTATTTTGAAAGTTATTTATTACCATAAATTTACATTATATATACTACTATATTTGGTCCTAAATTTGAGGCCCTTACAAATTGGAGGCCCAAGGCCCTGCGAACATGTGCGCACGCTGTGACAGTGTCAATGGACAACTAGAACTGCCACATGACCGTTTACATGCAAGAACATGTCTATGTATTGGCCAATTTATCTGCAGGAATTGGTCTATAATGGTATTTGGAAATAAAGAAAAGATTGTGACATTCAGTTTACCTTCCAATTAGGCAATGCTTTCTATAAAAGAAATATACAAATCATTACAAAGAGTCACGCAATACTGCTCTTAGAATGTGAGTAAGCTTCAATCAATGTAAACCGCCTGACATGCTTCAATCATTAAAGATATCCTGCTGAAACAGAAATTATATGGTTGAAGTTATCAGCATTGCGGAAACTTAACCATTGTTTTAGTTCATCCTGATGGACTAGGATCAGAAAAATGAGCAGTAGCTTTATGTTGTCCTATGCTTTTTAAAATTACAAGTCGGTTCTTCTAGTGCACTGCAAACAGAATTAAATTATTTTTAAACAATTTGTAGGATACATTTTCTTCAAATAAGAAATGAGAAATACAACCCATGTAGGGAGGAAAAAAATAACATTAATTTGTACAAAAGGAAAAAATTCATATGATTTAATCATGATGTACTTAAATGGACTACTTAAGAGTTAAGAGCATATCCTCATTTGGCAGAGGTCCTTCGGAATATTTTTTTTAAAAATTATGATAATATGTTTAGAGAAATGTCCAACATTTTTTTTTCTCAATCAATACAAAATAAAGATACACAGAGAGACACCAATTTGTCTTTCCATAATCCGGTAAAACACTTGTGAAGTGAAGCAGAAAGACGAGGTTGGACAATAGGGGAAAGAGAGATTCCTTAAATTTTGGAAAACATGAGAGTTCTGCATTTCATTTCAAAGGGGAAAATGAGGTCCAAACAAGAGTTTTGGGGGAGAAAATGAGGGTTGGAATTTGTCTCGGCCCCTTAAAATAATCTTGTCCATGACACCTTTCAAAAAAAAAAAAAAATCATGTCCACTGCCAACAATTGACGTTTTCTAAGCCCTTCATGCGTGCGTGTGAAGGAGCAAACTAGGCTTTTCATTACTAGTAAAAATCCAAATATTTCGTACCTTGACTTTTTCCGTATTTATCTTTTTTTAATACAAAAAAATAAATAAATAACAATAAAGGGCGATTATTATCATTGAAAAATAAATACCCAAAATTAAAACAAACAAAAAGGAAGTTATCAATTCACACACAAAATTAATTTACCAAAGAAAAGTTCATTCTAAAAATTGAGCTTCAAATGCACATAAAAACATTCAGCCCTTTTATTAAATATTTATCAAGAAACCTTTTTACAACAATATAATGCGTGGGTGAGTAATTTACCTTAAAAATTGATCAATAAAGAACTCTCGACCCTTGCTTTCATCAGTAAAGTTTCTTCTTCCATGCACTTGTTTCTTCTTCTAAAAAAATAAATATATAAATCCACCACTCATGTCTCCCAAACCCAAGGATCTCTTCTTCCGTGTAGTCCCATCTCTATAGATCTACCCTTTTTCTGAAGGTCTGATAGGAAGACACAATTCTCTCTCTCTATGATCTTTTAATTATCATAAATTTTATTTGATTTTTAAAAAATGTTGAATTTATTCGGACAAATTATCGTAACTTTTTTAATATATCTATCAATAAAATTTCCCATTTGACCACTTCATAATTGAAATCAAGTCTCAATTTATTAATTTTTTTTTCGTGGAGCACAAGAAGAAATACCATGTTTATTAACACTCGAAAAAAATAACATCTACCAACGTCAAGAAATATCATACGGCACGCTTCATCTTTTCTGGATCTGAGGTAAAGATTTTGTTTGGTTTTCAATTGATTTGGTTTTTATGTAGTTTCTCACGTACAAACTCGATTTATAAGTGATTTAGATCTCCGTTTCCATTCCAATTGGGGCATGATTTAGGTTTAGAATAGGCATTTACAGAGAACTTCTGACATATATTGATCTAACTTATCTTTACACATATATGGAAACAGTTTAACACAATCATATGTGATTAAAAACTAGGCAACACGTATGCCCATTACTTTTTTTTCTCACACAGCGAATGCCTAAAACATTTTTTGGACTGGTCTAGAAAATGGATTGGTACATTTTGACTAAAGTCATCGCTCTTGAATTTCACACCCCAAATTGGAGCGGTCCAGAGAGTTGGACTGGTCTATGTTTGCTAATTCTTGCAACCACCTCAAATGGACTGGTCCAGCAACTTGGACCTGTCCATTTTGGTCACTAGCCAAAATAGACGCCAAAATCTTCCATTTTGACTACAAGTTCTTCGCAATTTAATCGTAACTAGTGATCAAACTGCACAAACCTTAACAAATTCGTGTCAATTTTGATTCCTGTTGTATTATAGCATTGTTTATACATCAGTCAAATGTCAATCATCTTTTTCCTATTACTTTTACTTATGTGTGGGGGTATTTATTTGATGAGTAGAGATAGTTTATATATGGGTAGAGTAGGAAAAACACCAACGAAATTGGTAGCAAGGACATAGGCTTGTGTAGTGGTCTATGGTGAAAATGCATGTAAATAGTGTAGGTACTAATCTAGTGTTGTAATTTTTCAACGAATCATAATAGAATTTTTTCTCATCCATGATGTAGATCGATTTTGGTTGAACCATATTATATCTTGTGTTTGTATGTGATTACTTTGTAGGTTTTCATTGGATCTTTGTATTCATGCGTTTTTGCTGCCCATCAAATCGGTATCAAAGTCAAAGGTAAAGAAGATCTAGAAAACATAATGTGTCACAACATGTGCTACAATGGTTTCAATTGCCGATGGAGTCAATTGGATTGATTAGTCACGATGCATAGAGTGTGATGATCCTCATGCAAAACTCTAATTGTCCGTATTTTACGCTGCTCGATCAGTCAAACCTCCAAGGCTCCAACTTGACCACTAGAATTCCATCCCATGAACCCATCACGATTTTTCTGACATTGTTACTGGTCAAGTTGATTGACTGCACTTTCAACTGAAACCGTTGTAGCACATGTTGAGACGTTCTCATTGTGTTTTCTTGTGTTTTCTGGATCTCCTTCACATTTGGCTGTTATACCAATTTTTTGGGGCAACAGAAACCCATGAATACAAATATACAATAAAAACTAACAAATCAAATCACACATAAACACAAGATATAACGTGCTTAATCAAAATCAGTCTACATCAATGGATAAGAAGAGATTTCATTATGATACGTAGAGATATTATAAGTGCTAACACTGTTACATGCCTTTTTATCATAAATCACTGAACGAGTCTATCTCCTCGCTGCCAGTATTGCAAGTGTTTTTCCTATTCTACTCTACCGACCTATAAACTATCTCTACCTATCAACTCCCTCACGAGAGACTACATCTCTCTCAATCTCATAAGTCTCAACTCAAAACTTAGGTATGTGTTCCAAACCCAATTCCTTGGGTGACAAAGATTACTTGCTTAATAAGAAATTTCCTTACATAATACAACTCTAAAATAGAAACCTAATTAAAATAGGAATTTGAAATACAATTTCAAACAAATGGTAAAACAAAAAATAGAACAATAATAAAATAGTAATAATCTCCTAAAAACTGAGATGGTAATGAAATGTTTTCTACCAAAAATTAATGTTTAGCAAATGAGTTTAGCAAAATATATATTGTAAAGTTTAATCTATTCACAGTTTTTGTTAGGATTGTATTTTTTCTTTTTCTTTTTCCCACTTTAGTTAACCCAAATGTTGGTAAATTAAACAGCAAAAAGAAAAGAAGTAATAATAATAATAATAATAATAATAATCTAACACTGTTTTTCCAAATGAATGGTCAACATGCAGTACTTAATTAGATGAATGATTACTTAGGTCTATAAATATATAAACCAGATTAATTTATGTTCAACTATTTTATATTTATTTTAGAATTCTTTTTCTTAATTTTATTTCTAAAAATTATTGTGATTCTCACATAAGCTATTTTTTTTTCTCTAAATATGATTAAATTCTATTTGCTTGGAATGTATGACCACCTTGTAAAAATTTTACAAATTAGCACTTTTTCTAAATATGATTAAAAATTATTGAACATCACTTGGAATCCACCTTGTAATCATGGCATTGACATCGACTCTAGTGCTAAGTTGGGCCTGGTGCCTTGTGAAACATCATATCTAATATTCGAGTTTCATCTGACCGCAAATAGTTCTTTGAGAGCCACACTTACAAGTGGAAGTCCAAACTTTACCGGACATGTGAGGAGAGCGCTTTGCACGATGATTCTCTAAGGATTTAGTATGGGCAAAACCCCAGTTACCTAAAACCAAAAATTCCTCTTGTGGTCCAAATACAAGCCTACAATTCTTGATTCATCTTTTTTATTTTTTCTATTTGATTTTATTAGTTCTTCTTGTTCTCAGTTGTTTAATATATGTAGATATACACACACATATACCAAAATGACTGGTAAGCCATTCTATCTCCATTTGTTTTCTACCATCCTGTTGATCTTTTCTATTACAAGGATAAGTAAAAGTAATTGTTCGATTTTTTATCATTTGGTTTCATTACAAATTACATTTACTCTCTTTTTGATTAAAACTTGTTATGCAGGGTCTTCCAAAAATTGCTTAATCGCATATGCAAATTACAAAAGTATCAATATAGCGACTACATAAATAGAGATAGACAAATGGCAAGCAAAAATGACGGTGATCATATATTCGAAGATTTGACCATAGAAATTCTTTCAAGACTGCCTCTGAAATCAGTTTTGCGATTTAAGTGTGTTTCAAAATATTGGTACTCTCTCATTAGAAGTTGTACATTCATTAACAAGCACCTCCAACGTCATGGCAACAATGCTCGTCTCCTTGTTAAGCATTACAATTACAACACTGCAGCATACGCTTTTGCATTGTTCCCGGATGAAACACTTGCTGGCTTTCCCCTTGTATATTATGACGTTGATAATGTTCAGCTGCCCCACGAACCACGTATTTTCGGTTACTGTGATGGCATACTTTGTCTTTGGGATTTGGATCGCATGGCTCTATGGAATCCTGCTACAAGAGAATTCACCTTTATCCCAATGCCACAACCCAACGTTCCAGACAATTTTTGCACTTGGCCTAACTTTGGATTTGGGTTGGACCCTACAACCAATGATTACAAGCTGGTTTGGATTCGAAGATATTTTGATTACGAAAAAGATTACCAATATGCTTCTGCAATTATTTCTGTATACTACCTATCTACTAATTCTTGGAGACTTTTTGAAGTTGATTTATCTTGGGTTCATTACGTGCATCTTTCTTCATGTAGCACATGCTTGAATGGACGATATCATTGGCTGACTAGTGATCGTGATCGGACTGATACTCAGGATTTCTGTTATGATGCGATTATTTATTTTGATTTTAGTAACGAAGTGTTTGGAGAGATACCAGGACCTCAGGATATTCCCGTATCAAAATTGGGGAATCTCATTATATACAATGATTCTATTTCTATGACTTGTTTTTATCCACATGATCCTGAGATATACGTTGACTTATGGGTGATGAAGAAGGAGGGGTGTTGGACCAAAGATTTAACTATCGGACCCCTTGTAGATGTTGAAAGGGCACTTGGGTTTTGGAAAAATGGAGAGCTTTTCGTAGAAACCAGAAGCAATTCAGAGTTGGTTTTGTACAACCCTAATACTAAAGAAATTAAAAATCTTGAACATCGCGGACGGTACCTCGACCTTGAGCTTTTTATGTACAAGGAGAGTCTCGTTTCATTCAAGGGAGAAAATGAATGCCCAAAAGGACATAATGTGTCGAGTACAGCTCGGGTTCAAGATTTTTTCACATCTGATCCTACTCTCGTAATATGGGGTGATCAGATAGCCCAAAATTGATTTGTGTTTCCAGATTCAATTCTATTGTTCATGAGTTTTGTAGGAGCAATAAATCGTAGTAATAGGGATGGGAAGGGAAGAAATTTATTTGTGATAAAAACCGAATATTTTCTTTTTAATCATTGTTTCTTCTTTTATGTCATGATGTAATTCTTTTTTTGTTGTCATTTTTTTACAATACTCTAAAGTACCATACTCCTTAGGCATTGGATGTGACGATAAGACTCGCTTGATATGACCGAGAAACCACTGAGAGATCCACCACTCTGCAAGGTAAAACTAAGTAAAGTTCGCATATGTCCGAGTTTACGGTTTGCCCCTCGAGGTGCGAGTTAGGAGTGAATTTTGTGTGTCACAAACTAGTTTAGCAAGAAGTGGTTAACTCTTTAGATTAAATTAGTTTATCTATTCCTTTCTTCATTTTCTAGTAGACATATTCAATCATCTAAATAAAAATAATCACAGCACAGAAGCAAAATAGAAAATTTCATGATAATAAAAATTAATGAAACTACAAAATAATTTAGGATAAAGAACAATAGAATAAAAAAATTCTGGTCGAATGCTCAAAAAAATTCTTTAAATAAACCTTAAGATGTTGTGAGAATTTGAGATTAAGAAAAGAAGCTGCAATGAGATTAAAAATTCTTTAATTCTAAACCTGTTAGTGGAAATTGTGCTTTTCAAACATTTTTATTCTAGTTTATTTTTTATTTTTTATTATGTTATAGATCATTTAATTATTGTGTATATTGGATGTTCCGCATAAAGTTTTAGTCTTTTTCACAACTTAAAAGACTTAGCTAAATGCTGGAAAGTGTGAAGCAAATAAATGCCTTGTAATAAATCACTATTGTCTCATCTCCAAATGCTTTGTTTTGAAGTAAAAAACAGCTCTTCTGGATTAATTGCTCGTGTTAGTTATAGGACTTACCAATTTTTTTAGTTTTTTTTGGAAAGGTTATAGGACTTCCTTCTTTTAACAATAGATACACACACACACACATATACACACACAAATATTTTACTTCAAAGAGATAGATTAACTTATTGGCTAAATTTGGCCTTTTGGAGTTGGTAATACAAGTTCAGTCTAAGATTTGATAATAACTTAAAATACATTGTTGCATTTACTTGAAATCCTTGAATTTAAACACAAGAGATGCTAAAGGTTCTCTTAGTACATAGTAGGATTGATCTTTCTTCTTTTTTTTTTTTTTTTTTTTTTTTTTTTTTTTCCTAGTTGGGACTCAAACACACTGCCTCCACTGAGGTTTGAACTCTTGACCTTCTTTTGGGAAGTAGGAGCCTTGTATCGCTAGACCACAGGCCTGTTGGTCATGTTGGGAAACGTGCTAGTTTTAAAAACTTTTCGAGGGATTTAAATTCATAGATCTTGATTCATCACATAGAGACAAGTTTTATGCAAAAAATAAAATAAAATATGATGTATTATTCAACTAAAAGATTGAATACTTACATCAAGGTTTGAGTAAACCTCAGATCTCTCCTCTAAAGTGAATGTTCTCACTTATTGTAGATCCCTTTTGCTAGATGCATTCTCCTTGGATCTCCATCTTCTTGGTAATTGTTTTGCCTTTAGGAATCACTCATATGCCTCCATGAATGACCTTGGAAAACTAGGCTTGTGGGAGCCTCCATTAGATGAGAACATAAACCCTAATTTTCTAGAGAGAGAAAATTTATTCCTTTTTCCTTCTCATAAAAATCACTGTCTAAAATATACATAGACCATGTATATTTATAGGCAACATAAAAATAAAGAAAAGGAAACAACAAATCCTTCTCCATCTCTAATTCATATGTCTCAAATCTAATATGATTCCAATATCAAGTTGGGCTATGAGTGAGAATCCATTAGGCCTATTATTTTATTGGCTACAATGAATTAATAATTGGCCCGGTCCATGGACCCAATTCAATTAATTCATAAATTAATTTCTACTCCACTAAAAGAAATTAATTGAACTCCAATTAAATAATAAATAACCTCTAAGTCAATATTGCACTTTGACCCCTCTATGCATAATTAGTTATCGGATAAATATAGCCATCAATCCGACTACTTAATTAATATATTTATTTTGGTACCTTTGATTATTTCTGGCTCGATCACAATAAAACATTTGTTTGACAAAAATAATAATTTAAATAAATAAATATATAATAAATCATTTTGTCTAAAAACACACGAAGGCCTTCGAATTTACTTTGTGATCAACCATAATCAATACAAAATAAATACAAGTAGCAATGATGCAAATATTGAAAATATAACCCTCTAACTATTAATTACATAACTACCCAAAGTGTCGGTCTAAGGATCCCGAAGAATCCGCCGAACAAATCAAAGTAATTATTAATTAATAAAAGAGTCTATACTTTTCTCATGCTTAAGAGTCAAATGCCATGACGGTAATAGGGAGTAATTGCATACGACGGCTCTCGCAATATATCTCAACCTAACGCGGATCCAGTTCAAGTCTTAATTAATTATGAGTCCATCCATAATTACCGACTATGAACAATTTATAATTACTATTTATATATCATGCATTGATTGTCATCACATACATATATATAAATATTTCTTGTAATTAACAGGACACTATCAATTTCATAGTGAATTGAAACATAATACATTGAATTAACCAATTATATAAATCATAAATATTTCAGATATGTCAGGAACATATGTCAATACAATCCAGATAGGAATTTGCTATGCCAGGGCATATAAATCCCAACAGCTCCCACTTGCCCTCATAGCCAATTCAAATTGCACCTAACTCCAATGTTATCCAGATGATGATCAAAATTATTGATCAATGACACCTTTGATAATGGATCAACAAAGTTGTGTTCCAATGCAATGTTTTAACTACAAGTGCATTTTCTTGCCGGACAATATCATGTCGAACATGATACTTCCTCTCAGTGTATCTTGTTCCTCTATGGAACCTTGGGTCATTGGTTTGGACTACTTCTGCACTATTGTCACAATATAGCTCGATAGGCAGGCTAGTATGCTCCACAACCTCTAAATCAGTGAGATCAAACCAATAGGCTTATATTGCCACCTTTAAGGCTGCAATATGTTCCACCTGCAGGTTTGAGTCAACAGTTGAAATCTGCTTGACAATCTACCAACTGATTTCCCTTCCATTAAGTGAACATACACTAAGTCATGAACCTCATAGTATCTACTTCTGATTGAAACTCAGAATTAGCATACCTGACTAGGACCATATCATCACATCCATAAATGAGTATGATATCATTGATTCTCCTTAGGTACTTAATGATATTTTTCACAATAGACCAGTTGTCAAGTCCAGTATTGGACTGATCTCTACTGACTATCCCTACTATGCAGCGGATGTCCTGTTTGGTATAGACCATGGCATATATGAGACTCTCATATGCCGAAACATATTGTTCCAGTCTCATTTGCTCAATCTCCTCTGCTAGTCTTGAAAAACTAGTTACTAGAGAGAGCGATCCATATCAATAAAGCAAGAACTCATTCTTTGAGTTATGCATACCAAACCTGGTCAAAACTTTATCAATGTAGGATTATTAAGATAAGCCTATTTTCCTTTTAACATGATCTTGCAAAAGCTTGATCCTAGGAATATAGCTTACATCTTGAAATTCCTTCATTTAAAAGTAATTGAACAACTACCTTTTAATTGATGACAAAACTTCCACGTCATTATAAATGAGTAGGATGTCATCAATATATAGAATTAAGAAAAATAATGACATTCCCTTGTACACTCATGATTTATTCACTAAGAAATCTTCTGGTATCTTTTTGTAGATTAACTTGCCTTCCATAGGAATCACCCTCCTAGAAAGTTCTACAAGATCCCAGAATTTATTAGAATACATAGATTCCAACTCTGATTTCATAGTAACTCACCAAAACGATCTGTATCCACATCGGTTCACGCTTCCGTGTAGCTTACTGGGTCCAACTCATGTTTAACAGGGATGTCCATAATGGTCTCACCTAAAAACATGATTCTGTCGAATTGGATGATAATCCTCCCACTACATCAATGTACCGATGCAAGAATCTGTGTAGTAGATGATGCTAACGCATCAATAGGGAATTCATATATTATTCTCAATCTCTATAATAAGTGTGTTCACATGTGGTACATCTGGTACTCATACCAAATTCTCTAACATTATGCTACTAGGTATGTGATTCATAATATGATTCTCCTATAGATAAACAGTGAGTGAAAACAATCAACTTTTATCTTTGAGATCATAAAATAATCCATCCTAGTGACATTTAGAGTAGCTATCAAATCTAGCATGCCTATGATCTGATTCCAACTTACTTGTCCATATCAAACGCACGTGTGCAAGACTACCCCATATGTGCATATGATTCAAACTAATATTTAGTCAAAAACACAGCTCAACGGTATCCTTGAGACAGACTAAGATGGAATGCAGTTCATAATGCGCATCGATGTCATTAACGCTAAACTCTTAAATGAAAGAGATAATGTGGCATTACTGATCATAGATCTAACCATGTTAAGTGGAATTCTGTTATTCCTATTTGACACCTAAATTAATTTAGCGTCAATTGCGGAAAACTGGTACACAACACCCTCATTGACCATATAGTCTTTGCACTATCCCAAGAAATACTCAAATACTCGATCAGATCGAAGTGTCTTGATAAGTTTACCTAATCTGAGCTCTACATCAGTCTTGACCCTCTCGGAATATACCAAAAGTATAAGACTTGTGTCGCAACAGGTAAATTTATCCAAAACGTGAGTAATCTTGATTGGATGTTCATAAGACTACACGTGTACGTGTGTACCGACTCCAATTGTTCTTTATGTCTATTTCATTTGGCTGATTAAGCCCTTAGAGTTATCTATCCTTCAAAACAAGATTCACAAGTTTGGTTTAGGCTCCTCTGCCTCACTAGGTAATAAACCTTCTTT